GTCTGGGTGACAGAGTGAGACTCCAACTCAAAAATAAATAAATAAATAAATAAAAATAAATAAAATTCTGAGGGTTATTACAATTGTCCTCTAAAGAGGTTAAACCAATTTATACTTCCAGTAAGCTCCTGTTTCTACAAAACTGTATCTCTTCCTGGTTTACAAGTGAAGTGAACATATTTTCAAATTTTTATTGGTAACATATTTCTTCCTTTGTGAGTGCCTGTTGGTATTTTCTGCCCATTTTTCTATCAGTTTATTTACATTTTTTATTTTTTAAATATGTATATAAGGAAGATGAGTCCCTCATCTGTCATGTCACACGTGTTATAGATATTTTTGCCAGATTATTGCCTTTTCACTCTTGTCAGTATACTGTTTTCTTTGTAGAAGTTTTTAAAAAAAATTTATAACAACGTATTTAGTAAATGTTTCTTTCCTTCATAGCTTCCAAGCTTTTTTTTTAACATTCTTGGAAAGGCCTAACCCATTCTAAGGTCGTTAAAAAAATCTTTCTAATTCCTTCTATTGTTTTTATGGTTTCTTTTCCTTTCTGTTTTTACATATAAATGTTTGATTCACTTTAATATAGATTGAAATTTATTTTTTTACCATACATTATCTTAATACTATCTATGGGATGACTTTTATTTTCTCCAATAGATTAAAGTGGCACTTTTCTTCTGTACTACATACATTTGGAACTATGCATTTGGATCTATTTCTGATCATCTGTTTTGTTCCACTTACCTATTCTTTGTCTAGTACATCGACTCAGTTCTGTGATATATTCAGTGTATTGGCATTCTGCACTTTACACATGAAATGCCTGCTGGAAAGACTGTGTATGAAGTTAGACATTAGTGTGAAGTTAGACATTAGGTGTTTAATCTAACTGTCATTGTTTAGTTATTGTTGTGTAACATACCTCCCCAAAACTCAGTGACTTCCGATGACAGTCAGTTTTTGCTAACACATTTACAGAGTGTACTAGGCTGGGCTCGGTTGGGTGGCTGTGCTCCACGTGACATTCATTCCCTGCCTAGGTTCCTCCGTTACTATGTTCCTCATGGCAATGCCAGAACACAGTGACATGAGTGCAAAGAAGAAGTCCCCAGAGGGCTCAGGCTTTATGATCTATTGTCACTTCTGCCTCACCTTATTAGTCAAAGTCACCTAGCTGAACTCCAATCTAGAACTGAGAAAGTCCTCTTTGTCCTGTGAGACATGGCAAGGGTGTGCATACAGACAGGGTGAAGGAGGGGGGCCACCATCACAACCTCCCTCAGCCTCTAGCACATCATTTATATGGGGAGAGTCCATAGACGATTCCAGGTCCACATCTCATAGTAAGCATAAAAAGGAGCTGTTAATATATATTTGAAACACACAGAAAGTTCAAGGCTACAGAAAAGTGTAGATAGTAACATAACATCCATGTATCTATCTCTAAAAATGAATCATGTTTTTACATATTTGCTTCCGATCTTTTTCTTTTTCAGAAATGAAATAGTTTAGAGTTTATGAACTCTGTATCTCTCCACAGATCTATGTCTCTCACTTCTCAGAGGTAATTGCTAACCTGTATTTAGTCTGTGCATCTTTTTGTATTTTTACTATACATGCAGCATTCATGAAGAGTAACATTTTTGTGTTTTTAAAATTTAAATAAATAGTATAATAGTACACATATCATTCTAAAAGTAGTATTTTAATTCGACAGAATATCTGGAGATCTAGCTGCTTTAATAATACATCTTCATTTAAATTATATTATACTCCATTGTATGACTATATTATAATTCATCTATCTTTTGCCCTATTGATGGATGCTTTGAATGGTATTTGTTTTCCATTATTACAATCAAGAAACATTTTAGAATCTCATACTTAAAGTAAATAAGTATAATTTTACAGAATATTGAAGTTATTTCCAAATATTACACAGATGAAATATAACTGAACTGGTCACCGAAATACACCTAAGGTATATACTAAGGAGTATATTATGGAGGGTCATATGTTATTAATGGTCAGTTCTTTTCTGAAACATGCTACCCAGGAAATGAAAGAAAGATCCACCAGCAGATAGTACTAAGTATTCCATTATTCACATGAACATTCTCCTACAAGCCACAGCCCAGAAGACCGTCATTCTGCCCCTGCCTTATCATTTTCTGTTAATATTTAGTCCGTGTTTCCAATACAACTGGCTGCTTCTTTTTTAGATCAAAGGCTTTTACATAGGTCCCACATGCAAATCAAATAGCTATCCATGGAATATTAGAATTTGACTTGTTCCATTCTCTTATTTTTGTGTGTGTCTCACACTAAAGAAATGACAGAATCCTAAGTCTCAACAGCTAGAACATTTTCATTCAAACTTGAATATTCTTCAAAGAGAGTGTGGGAGCGATTCTAATTAGAGGAAGAAACCTACAGGGAAGCAAAACCAGATGTTTTCCACAAGAGTCCTCCTTTTGGCTGTTTTGATTTCCACTGGTAAGTCAAAAGTACAATTTTAGAATCTTGGCTAACTTTTAAAAACCGATTTCAGGGGAAGATTAAAAAGTCATTAATAGCAAAGTCACAACAAAGATGTGTGTATTTGATTATTAAAAATACATAAGGAATAGGAAGGCTGCTTGGTGGGAGAGGGGACGTTCTAAATCATTTCTCTTGAATGTCCTCGTTTTTTAGTGAGGGAAATGTACAAGTGGAACAGAAAGACTTCAAGAAAAGCCTTTCCATCTTGGACTGGGACTTAACTGGAACAAAACAGGAAAATACAAAGTTTGTATAAAAATATGGTTTAGAAAATTCCTGATACAGAGCATGGTGTGGATTAGGACGAAGGAAATATAGCAGGAGAGAAAAGTAGACACTTTAATACATTGTCTGACATATGTCTCAATTCCCAAGGATGAATATTAGTTGCCAAAGTGATGGCATTATGTCTGGATTAAGGTGTTGACTTGAAGTTGGGCTCCAAGACATAAGACTTTTGAAGCACTTTTGAAAAAGTATATTAAGGAATATGCTTAATGGCCATATTCTGTAGCTTCTCTTCATAGCATATATACAGAGGGTGCCAACAAAGTGTATACACATTTTAAGAAGTAAAAAACTGTATTAAAGTTGTAATACTCAGTAAGACGAATAAAATCATATTTGACTTCTACAATTACAAGAGGTACTCACAATGGTTACCATCAGTGTCCAGACACTTCTGATTACAGCTAACATCTCTTAACATCTCTTAAAATGTATATACATTTTTGGCACCTTGGTATTAGTAAGGAGTGAAATATTTTTAAATAAAATAAATAATCAAATTAGCAGGCTTTTGTTTTTGCTTCTGTTTTTGTATCAAAGTAAAAGGTTAGGTTTGCTAACTGTATCTCTCTCTTCAAATGCTAACACTGGAAAGCCAGGAAATTTAATTCAATTGAACATTTACCAAGTGCTTACTATATTAAAGAGACAAGTTGAACGTAAAACCAAGTTTTCACCAAGTACACTAAAAAAAGCACCCATCCTCCATGTTTCCAGAATTTTCAGGATCTACTGGGAGACAGATAAGGCAGGTGGGTAATATCCAAGGCCAGAGCTCTGCCCTCATGTTTCTCCTTTTCAGCACTGGCTGGACCATGGGCTAATATATGTGCAGGCAAGTCTTCCAATGAGATCCGGACGTGTGACAGCCATGGCTGTGGACATTACTCTGCTCAAAGGTATGGGTTTTCACCAACAGCCATCAAACCCTTTGGTTCCTAACCTCTTTTCTTAGTGTTCTTGCCCAGAGTTTCCTCAAGGGCTCACAATGACCCCTCTGAGAGCATGAAAACCCAGAGATGTAACCAGTTACATCACTGCCTATGGAAAAACTTTCAAGAATTCAACTTCCAGTAAGGGCTCAGAGCATGGAATAAGGAAATGAGAGGCAACAAACACAATGATTTTCCCCCAAGGTCTTCACACAGTGACTTAAACCACCTGTTTTTTTTGCTTTGTTTCTCCAAAGGCGAATCAAATATTACTATTCCATTTTATAGATGAGGAATTTGAACTGAGGCACCACAGGGCTGAGGGACCTGTCAAGCACAGCTGGAGATGCTGAAAGCTGGACTTTAATTCAGGCTTTTGGACCCTCTTCCCGCCAAACCATAGTGTCCCAGGCTCTGGCAGCCGAATATTAGAGGCTGACCCTGAGCAGGCAAGAGAGCTTCTCCATCTCTTCCAGACAATGAGGAACACACTTGTGGTTTCTCCTTTCTTTTTCTTTCTTTCTTTTCTTTCTTTCTTTCTTTCTTTCTTTCTTTCTTTCTTTCTTTCTTTCTTTCTTTCTTTCTTTCTTTTTCTTTCTTTCTTTTTTTCTTTCTTTGTCTTTTCTTTCTTTCTTTCTTTTTTCTTTCTTTTTTTTCTTTCTCTTTTTTTGGCATTTACAGTCATTAATTTCTTTCTAAGCACTGTTTTTTATTTTAAATTTTTTCTAAAGATGGGGTCTTGCTATGTTGGTCAGGCTGCTCTTAAACTACTGGCATCAAACGATCTTCCAAACTTGCCCTCCCAAAGAACTGAGATTACAGGTGTGGTCACTGTGCCCAGCTCTGAATTTTCAGTAATACACAGCACCACCTTGGGGCTGCCACTCTCTGATGAAATGGCCATGTATCCAGTTCTATCATGGATGTTCATCCTAATTAGTGGAGAACTCTCACTTGTACAGATATTACTTACAAAGCAGCCTCAAATACCTGAAATAGGACTAAGAGATGGGACACATAGAAAAAAGTCTTCTGAATTGCCAAAATTAAGACTCAGTTCATACCCTAAAGTTTATGCACTTGACTGATACAATAACTTCTTGCCTCTTCTCTTGGAAACTTCTCAGTGCTGCTTTGCACATAACTCTAACAATCCTGGTGAATCTGAGTGTTCAGGTGGTAGCCTACTAAAAGGAAGGAGAGACTGGTAAAAGCCGGAGTAATGACAGCAATGCAAAGCAAGAGCTGAGGATTGTTAAGACAATCTTAGGAAAACTTGCAATCTGGAATCATTTGGCATTTATGCTCCATACGTTCTAATAAACCCAAGAGGTATTGCTCACTGTATTAAAATACCATATACAGTACATAATGTTTACAGTCACTTTTCTAGATCACTGAGAGGAAACTACAAGTAGGGTAACAATACTTTTATGATAGATTCCTATAAAAAAACCAAAGTGGTCTTTAGAAGTCAAGATCCAGCCAGCTATAAAATTCACTTACATGGACTGCCGCATTTCCCCAAAATGCCGTATAAAAATATTAGTTAATATTTGTTTAAGACTTGCCATGTTCCAAGTACTATTTTAAACGCTCTAGTCTTTTCATTATGGTTATTAATACCTGCAGAGGGGAGGTTAAAATTGGACTAAACAGAGTGAGGAATCCTGGAACATCCCAGCATGCGCTGGCAGCTTCAGGTTTGGTACCCTAGTTTGGGAACAGGGTGCTAACACCATGTTCCTGCACAGTCAAGTTTTCCAGGGCAGCTCCTCATTCTGTCCATTCCTATTTATATCCTAGAAATCAGAGACCTCACCAGGGTGTGGACGTCTTGTGCTCTGCGGGATCTACTGTGTACGCACCATTCACTGGAATGATCATGAGCCAGGAGAAACCTTATCGAAACAAAAATGCTATCAACAATGGTGTTCGAATATCTGGAAGAGGTAAGAAAGGTGGAGTCTGTACCTGGGACACCAACTGGAGGTGTTCATGATTGTTTACTTAATGAAGGTTCCATACATAGACGTTTTGTACTTCTTTCAAAATGATAAAACCTAGAACAGAAAGGATACGGAGTATACCAAGCTAGCGGATACAGTTTCAGGGATGTTCTGCCATTTTCCCTGAAAACCTGTGCCATGAGCACACACTCCACCACACTCTGCAGCTGCCTGAGGTGTTCCTTCCTGTGGCCCATGTGCTTTTGCTGAACAATCTATAAACAAAACCACTTTCAGCAATGTTAACCATAATGGATAGATACTTTCATTTACCCAAATCCCGCAAATCATAAATGCTGACCTTTCTGCAAGAGTTGAATGTGAAATATTTTCAAAAGCCTCTATGTTCTAAGTCAAGCTAGATCTCCCGGTACTCCAGGTACTGGGTTTGTAGTTTGCTTGTTTTAATTCTATTGAGGTATAACTCACACACCATGAAAAGTGCACATGACAATGTACAGCTCCGTGAATTTTAACAAAGTGAATACACCTGTGTATCCATCACCGGCATCCCAGAGACCCCTTGTGCTGCCTTTCAGTCATTATTCCCCAACAAGGTACTCACTATCTCAACTGGTCTTTGTTTGTTTGTTAGTTTGAGTCAGGGTCTCACTCTTTCGCACAGGCTTGGGGTGCAGGGCATGATCATGGCTCACCGCAGCCTGGGCTCAGATGAGCCTTTCTCTTCAGCCTTCTGACTAGGTGGGACTACAGGCATGTGCCACCACACCCAGCATATTTTTTGATTTTTTTTTTTTTTTTTTTGTAGAGACAAGCATCAAACTCATGGGCTCCAACAATCCTCCCGCCTCGACCTCCAAAAGTGCTGAGACTATAGGCAGGAGCCACCATACCTGGACACTATCCCAGCTTCTAACATTAAAAAAAAAATGACTTACATAGAATTTAACAGCATGCACATCATGGCTTTAGGTTTATCCATGTTTGTGCATCCACATTCATTATTTTTGATGTACAGCATTCCAATATATGATGCATGTTTTCATCTATTTGTCCATTCTTTTTTAGATGGATGTTTGGGTAGTTCCCAGTTTTAGGTGATTAAGAAACTACTGCTAGAAACTTCCTTATACCTTTCAATGAACATAGATATGTTCTCCCATAGATCCTTTTGGGAGTGAGTCCAGAGGACACCCCCTCACCAAGGCTGTGAGGAGCACCTTGTGAGGAAACTCACATCCTTCAAGAACTATATGGTGACTGTTCTCTGTAGGCTCAAAGTGACAAGAAAAACTGCTTCCATTGAACCAGGTTCACTGAAATGGTGGTACTCAACAGTCAAGGCCAACATCAGCGAGGTTACCTAATAGGCAGCACAGCTGAAATATTAATCAGATTCATTGGAACCTCAGAGATCTGTGACACTGGCTTGTCAATCATGGTGACCCAAGAACTGATTAGATAAACAACCAGCTAAAGCTTCATTTGATTTCCACAAATGGAAATGCTCCAGGCCCGATGAACAAAATTCTGACTTCAGTCATCACAGTAATGAGCTACAGACCGCGCCACTCCCATCCCTACCCCTAACCCCAAGTAAGTTCCCAAGCTTGAGCCAGTTCAGTGTCAGGACCCCCTGAATGAAAGGCTCAATCCCTTTGAGGAAGGGCCTTGCTACATAGCCAAAAATGTAGACTGCAAACTTTTCTTATAGTCATTCCCAAAGAAAACTGCAGTTGTGTAGTAGGATGCTTGTACACCAGGGAAAAAGAAATAATTAGGCTCTTCAGAGATAATTGGACACTTGCTCAAAACTAATTCCTGGAAATCTAAAAGGCCACTGCAGTTCTCCAGACTTGAGTCAGGTGGTCAGTGTAGTTTTTCACCGAAACAGAAGTGGCCTGGTGCATCCCTGAATCCACCCTGTGGTTATTTCTCCGGTTCCAGAATGCATAATTGGAATCAAATTTATTCTTCTTTCAGATTGACTGGACAATTCCTGGTCATTTGCATTTACAAATAAATTACAGACTCAGTTTGCCAATTTCCATCAAAAATCCTGCTGGAGTTTTGATTGCGTTTGCAGTAAATATACAGATTGAGAACTGATATTTTTAAGGTAGTGAGTCCTCCAATCAATGAACACATTATATCCTCTATATCCTCCATTTTTTACAGTCTTTTTTTTTTTTATTGTTGTTGGGGTCTCCCTCTATTGCCCAGACTGGAGTGCACTGGCATGACCACAGCTCACCTCAGCCTCAGCCTTTTGAGTTGAGGCAATCCTTCCACCTCAGCTTCCCTAGCAGCTGGGACTACAAGCATGCACCACCATGCCCAGTTAATTTTTTTTTTGAGTCAGAGTCTCACTCGATCGCCCAGACTGGAGTGCAGTGGCCGCTCCCGGCCACCACAGCCTCGACCTGCTGGGCTCCGGCGATCCTTCCGCCTCAGCCTTCCAAGTAGCCAGAATTACAGGCACGCGCTGCCACGCCTGGCTGATTTTTTGATTTATTGTAGAGATGAGGTCTCGCTGCCCAGGTGGGTCTCGAACCCGCGGGCTCAGGCAATCCACTCACCTCAGCTTCCCAAAGGCGAGGGATTACAGGCTGAGCCACCGAGCCCGGCTTAGCTAATTTTTTTGTAGAGATGAGATATCACTACAGCCTAGGATGGTCTCGAATTCCTGGGTTCAACCAATCCTCCTGCCTCTGCCTCTCAAAATGCTGGGATTACAGAAGTAGGCCACTGTACCCAGCCTGTCTTCTTTCGTTGTTATATTAATAGCTGTTGTATTAGTAGTTTTCAGTTGAAGAGGTCTTGCATCTTTTTAAAAATATATATTCATAAAACCTACTTGATGGATTTCGTTTAGATCTTCTACAGCAGTATCATGCAATAGAAATGTAATATTTTTTATGTAAATAATTTTATGTAAATTTTATCTAAATAATTTTAAATTGTCTAGTAGCCATATTACATAAGTAAAATAGAAATGTGGAGTTTTACTATTTTATTTAACTCAATGTTTTTAAAATATTATTTTAAAATGTAATCAACATAAAAATTGAGATTTTTGCATTTTTACATACTAAGCCTTCAAAATCCACTGCGTATTTCGCCACTAAAGCACATCTCAATTCATCTTAGCTACATTCTAAATGCTGAATAGTCACATGTGGCCACTGGCTACCATATTGGACAGCTCAATATCATTGCCTTACCTATTTCTTTTTTGCCTACTTGACCTGTTTGCACTGAGAATAGTATGCCAAAGTCTCCTATTATTAGTGGGTTTCTACCATGTCTCCTTGCATCTCCAGGAGACTGTGCTTTATATAGATAGCGTTCATGTCACTTAGTGTGTGGATCATTGTAATTGTTATATCTTCATTGTGAGCTGTGGCATTTACCATTATCCATGATCTTCCTTTGTCTTGTTGCAATGCATTTTGGCCTGAATTCCACTCTGTAGTAACAGGATCATAGCTCTTACTTTCTTATTGCTCCCGTTTACTTGGCAAATCTTTGTCCAACTCATTACTTTTAGTTTTTTCAATCACTGTGCTTTATTCCATATAACAAAAAATTGGGGTTTGCTTTTCAATCCAATAGAAAAATTTTTAATCGATGTATTAAGCTCATTTATATTTATAGATATGACTCATATATTTAGTCATTTTATACTGTCATTTTATTATTACTGTATTACACAGACTCTCTGTTTTTCTACTTGGTGGGCCTTTATTTATTTTTTTAGTTCTTTTGATTATTATGAAGGTTTGTGGTTTGTTTTTCAGTTATTTCATTTTATCTTTAAAGTCTAATAGAATTACTGTCTAATAGAATTAGAATATGTCTTGAAGTTGACATTGTTCTGAGCCAATTTTCCCAACTACCTAGTGTTTTCCTGCTATTATTCTTCAATGTCTTTTTTTATTAACTTTTAAATTTTTTATTTTAAAGATGTGGGGTACAATTCAGCGCTAGGTATACAAATGTTCATTATGCTTATCAACGTCTTTATTACATTTTAATTTGAATCTGTTCTCCTTTTGGCACCTTGTAATTTAGTCTTTTTAATATGACGCTGTCACTTTCTTCTATTTCTCCTCTGAGCTTATTCAATTCTATCTCTTTTTGTTTTTGTTCACTTCTTATTTCGAAACTTGTGATTCAAGGTCAATAATTATTCTTATTTTCTTTTAGGTTTCTGTGTCAAAATTTTCTACATTAAGCCAGTTAAGTACAAAGGTTCTATCAAGAAAGGAGAAAAACTGGGAACTCTATTGCCCTTGCAGAAAGTTTATCCTGGCATACAATCACACATACACATTGAAAACTGTGATCTGAGTGATCCTACAGCGTACCTGTAAATGGAAGACAAATGACCAGATCTTTTCAATAAAACATCATCTTAAAACCCTGGATGCATATCCTGCTTTTCAGGAAAACTATGTTCAAATAGAAACATGATATTTCAATTTCAATTTTGACTTGTCACTTTGAAGTTTGGGTGTGAACTAATTTCTTAGGAGCTCTTTGGTCTTTCTGTCACCTATGGAATCAGGGTGGTTTTGTTTTTTAGATTTCTCAGTCCTAAAGACTGATAAATACACAGATGAATTTATACTGAGCCAGACTGCATTTCTGATGCCTCTAAAACTAGCTACTTTTCTGCTTGAAAATAAGAAAAGTCCTGAAGGTGTTTCTGTGACACAAGAATGGAAAGCGGCTGGCTTACAATGCTAGATGTGGTACACACTTTACAAATATTCATTGAATAAATTGGAGCCCTCTCTTGAGTCAAGGTAGTGATGATTTTCAGCCATATCCTTAGGTTTGTCAAGTTGGCTGAGGGAGAGCTTCTTTTATGGATAAGAAAAGATTTGCTGGTCTTTTCATCCACACTCTCCCACACAGTTATGAATGATGGCAGTCCAAGCAAGCATATTCTAGATTTTAGTGAGGCTACATTACAGGAAGCACTAGAATAAAAAAGGGGCCTACATTTATCTGAAGTACCTCATGGAACTGGGTCTATCAACATCAGCTAGCTGTGTGTATATTGCAACTACTTTTTAAAAAATATTTTATTTTAAAGTTGTGGGGTACAAGTCAGGATTGTGTACACAGTGCTTTTAGGGATAGGTGAAGTTTTGGGCCTCCCATTGGACCTTGCTTCACCTGGATTAGTATCAGGCACCCTTACTGATGTTATACACTCCCCCTCCCCTGGCAGTGTCCTGCAACTGCCAATCCCTTCTCTGTAGTATTATGATAGATGTTCAGGGCTCACTTATGAATGAGAACATATGGTATGCAACTATTTATTTCTACACATCACTGTATACGTATCTTATTGTATATTGTATACTCATAGCTTATTGTCTATTATACTGTTTTAGTTAACAACAGGTACTTAGAGAAAACAAGAGCATACAAATGTTCAAAGAACCAGAAATATTTCTGGTTCCCCAGATTTTAGTCAGTAAGAAATGAGTAAGTTGAATTAATCACCGTGAAAACTTGCTCCATGAATTTTTGCTTAAATTCTTTTGGAATGCAGAAAACTGCAGTGGAATAATTCTATTTTTATGTATAGATATAGTAGAGGAAAATATAACTATTGAACTGTGTTTATTTAAGAAATGGCTGCATTGGTATATCAGGACATATGAATAAAAATGTTCATGATACATTATTTCTCATAGTAAAACCTGGAAAAACCCAAATGTCCGTCAATAGTGAAATGAATAAATAAATTATGTCAAAGTTATAGAATGGAATAGTATGCAGCAGTCATAAAGCACAATACTCTTTCTATAAAATCAAGTCAAAATTTCCAAGAACACAGGCATATATTTAATAAAATTATATAAAAAGAAAAGTAAGAAAATAATGAACTCCAATTACCTCATGACTAAATAGGGGAGGACCACATAAATTTGTTATTACCAGAGCTGTAGTTTTACAGTTGGGAGGTGATTTCATAGGTATTTATTATTATGACTAATATGTTACATAGGCAACAGGACTTGCATGTGGGTGGTCACAAAGAAGAGCTAATGATGATTATCAGATAGCTGAGAATCTATGTCACAGAATCAGTAGTTTCCTATATCTAGTTAGATACTATTTTCTACTGTGTCATAACATTTTATACTAGACTAGCAAGTTAAGAATTTATCTTTTGGTTTTTAAAAAAAAGCAAACTATATCCAACACTGTTTGATTTGATGATCTTCCTTATGCATCTCCTTGGTACCAAATAGTTTTAGGTTGTTTCCAAAAATTTGCTTTCAAAAGATAAAGATGTTCCTATTAAGAACACAAAAAAGAAAACAGCACACCAGCTTTAAAGACAATTTTAAAAGGAGCTTTAAAATGTTTGAACAATGAGAACCAAATAATCAACCTTCTGAATTGATTATTTAGGAGACAAACACAGTTGGATATGGATATTATTTTAAGAATCCTACTCATAACCTGGAATGAAGAGCTTCCTCAAAGTAGAGCAAGAATGTTGCCTTTTGCACAACACTCTCTCATACCTGTTCAATTAAAATGTGAACTCTAGTCAAAAGACTTCTTTCTTAGGAAGAACTGGAATACAGCGCCCTCTGGTGCATTATATGAATGGGTTTTTTGTTGTTTTTTTTCCTCTTATCTTTCAGGTTTAGAAGTCAAAATGTTCAGCTTAAATCAAAATACGATCAAGGTTCAAATGCAGAGGAGTAATATTAACAAGTAACTTACTTTTCCTGAGTAAAAGTGATTATAATATAAACTTCAAAAACTGTGATATCAGATATTCTGTCAGGTTTGACAACCATAAATTAATAATTTAAATAAAATCAATTTTTACTTTGAAAATATTTTATCAGCAGGAAATTAATTTAATAGAAGAAAGGTGGCCAACTTAAGAGGCCATGCCTACAGAGAAAAGAATTTCCACATCCATTTGACAGCATTTATCATGCTTAGCAGCTTATTGCAGCAATACTCTCATCATTGTTATAATTTATCACTTGCTGGTCCAATTACTACCTGTTTGTTTCATTTTTAAGCCAGTAGTATTATCTCCACTAACACTTAATGAGTACATTTAAAAATTTTTATACTTAAAAATCCATTTGTCTCCTGACTCATCTATCCCATATATAAGTATTTTTTATAATACAAATGATGCCAGCAAGGTTCATGAGGAAGAAAAAGCAAAATACTGAGACTCTACTTTGTGTTTCTTCAGTACAACCTACAAAAGGACCTTTCCCCCATTCTCTCCATTTATTTTTGCCACAAAATTATCTAGACTTTCCCAGAATCCTCTAACAAATGCAAACAAACACTTCTAACACAAACGAGTTTGCTTACAGAACTAAAATATTTTTCAAACACTAAAGTTTGAAATCTATCTAATATCAAACTCATTTATCTAGAATCTTCTCATCTCAGGTAAACAGTACTTTTGATAGAATTCTAAAGTAAACAGAGACAGTTTCATTAGATGAAGCATTAAAAATACTTTCTATTTTCTTGTTTTGCTTTCAGCTATCTTAAAAAATGTTTTGCTTTTCTATTTATCAACTCAGTAAGTCAGACCAACCAGGGTGATTTACAAGTTAACGAATTTGAATTACTCTGAGCTTTGCTAAGATTCTTTCTAGTGCTTAGTTTGCTAGGTTCAACAACTGGGCCACTAAAAAGCACCATTCAGAGGAGCAATTTCTCATTCTATCTAGAAGAGGTTAATGACGCTCATTACCTCTCTATGCTAGTAGGCTGTGGGGAAACTCCCCTTGATCTCTTCTCTGTTCCCTGTTTGCTCCATTGTCCTCAATGCAAACTCCACTGGCATTCTGTCACCTCACCAGTCAGGTCTACACACTCCCACCCAACTCCTCCTGTATCTCATGTTAAAGTAGCACCAGTGAGATCAGAGGGTTATCCCTTCAGAACTTCTGCCATTGCTCTGATCCCCAGCTCCATCTCAGTTAAGCCATTTCATCTGTTTATTCTGTTATCTTAAGCAGATTTTAGGTTCCCTATTATACGCTGCTCCTGTATGGTCCTGAAATCTTAAAGTATAAGTTATATGATCTATAATAGAAGTAACTCCGTTTTCACAATATTGAGGTTTTTTAAACCAGTAATATCAGCTCTATTAGCACTTCCTAAGTACTTGCTAATGTAGCATGCACTGTCCTGAGAGTGAGGAACACAAAGGTGAATATGAGATGCCTTACAGGGCTCATAGTGAGAAAGAACATGGCACTGTGGGGAGAAAGTAAGCACAAACACAGTCTCTAAATAACAGGATATGAAAGTGCTACTTTTAAAAACCACCATTTACAAATCACAATGTATTCTGATGTTTAATAGGTAAAAATACCTAACATACTTTCCTGATTAAAAATATTCAAAACTAGATAAACATATTTAGCTTTCTAATTTTTAGCTTAATTAATTTCTTAGAAAGAAATTTAAGATATCAGGGGGAGTACTTTAGGACACAAGTTTGACAAAGTACTTAAGTAAGATTTATGGAGTATCTACTATTTGCTAACTAATTTGCATGCCAGATGTTGGGGTATAACAGTAAAGCAAAACCAACAGTGACCTTGCACTGATGCAGTTTACTGTGCAATGGAATAAACAGGTGGTAATGAGATCGGCACTGTAATAGACCAGTGAGGAGTACCACAAAGAAGAGCAGAATGCACAACATGGACCTGACCGAGGAGCAGGGAATGGGGAGGATGTCAAAGAAGGCTTCTGTTAGGAAGTGACATACACCCGGAGGAAAAATCTGAGGGAGCATGGAGAGAAGGCCAGGCAGGGGAGAGGGGAGCGTGTGGGTGGATGTGACTGGATGGGTGTGCAGGGCAGTTTTAGGAGTTGAGAGAGAGTGGGAGCGAAAGGGAAATGGGAGCATGGTGGAACATAAGGCCAAGGAAGCAGGGAAAAGCCAAACCTAATAGAGCCTTGTGGGTCATTTTAAAGGGAGATCTTCTTTCTAAAGACAACAGACAACCATCAGAGTTCTGTGTCACTAACTAAACTATAAGATCACTTATGCAAAGGATCTGCCATTGTCCCAGATCCAGTAGCAGGCCAGCAAATGCTGATTCCCTCCCCACAAGCTGAAAAATGTACCTCTTTATATAGACAGTGTATTTAACTAATTAACAATCACAGGAGTAGCTTTTTCTTTTCACATTAGTATTCTTATTAAATGAATTGGTACGTCTAAATTTTAACTTAATACTCATTATCTCCCAAGTTAATATAATAAAATAGAATTCAAAGTATGCTGGAAATCAGTTGTTTATTGAATCACAAGATTATCTTATACAGTGCTAAAATTTTAGAATTAAGTAAGCCTCTGTCTGTTATCTTGATTTTACACTTAGTTTTTAATACTATGTATTTTATAAAAAATATTAACACTAAGATAACACAGAGCAAT